ATCATTCACAAGTTCGACTTATAGAGAATAGTAATGCTGCTTGAGATAAAATGCAGTAACATAAACATATTAAAACGATCAATCCTGCTGCAGCACACTGCATACAGCACCGGATTTACAGTTTATTGTGTTAGAGCATATAAAGTATAGTATACAAAGAGTATACAGAGAATCACAGTTCTTCACATCAGAGCTTCGCCCTGTAAATGAATCCATGTGAGGACTTTTAGGATCAGGTAGATCCGGGGCGCTTGTATCCACATGAAAACCACTTCTAAAAACATCCAACTTCATTTTTCTTGATAGCTAAATAAATTATGGTGAAATCCTCCACACAGAATGGTCAGAATATTGTTAAGCTCTTAGTGTCAACATAGATCCAATCACACAAACATTGTGACCTGTAAAGTGCAAACTATATAAAGGTTAATAGCTCAGACAAACCTCTTCTTCTAACCATCCATAATATTTTACAAGTAGTGTTCTTTATTTCCAGGCTAATGGACATTTTATTCAACTTCAAAAGTCTAGTTCAGTCTTGACATGTCCTTTTAGGTTGGAATGAGTTCACTCAAAGCTCAAAGGGACACCTAACAGAAAAAACCTTTCAGTGGAGAATGATTTGAACCTGGTGAGGCAGGATGGCTTTCTCTGCTTTTACATATGATCCTGATGATTTCAGCTGACCTGTACCATTACACCGGGAACACACTGACCCTGGGCCCAAACTACAAAAAGCTGTTTCACATCTAGTACACACACAACATAACTCATGCAGCTAACAGGTGACAGAGGCAGTTCTCATTCTTTGGACGGAGCTGGTCTGCATTCATGCTAAGCTCAGTTTTAGCTGGTCATAATCATCCTATTACACTGTAAACATCTTTGCTTCGTGGACAGCTTGATACCTGTCTCAAAAAAGAGGCATATTGTTGAAAATGTTACTGTAAAAATATGAAGATATTTCAGTCTGGTTTGTAGCTACTGTCTTAGTGTTTAATCCTTCATTTGACATTCTCTACGTTGGCCTGAGACAGGTGGCTTGGTCCTAAATCCAAGCATCTACAGCTTCTGCTTTAGGCATGAAGAGGTCTTAATGGAGCCAGTTTTTACTCACTTTTACTGGCTATTGACAAGACTGGTGTTTTTGTCATTTGAATTAGTCAAATCATGTGTTAGCACACAGTTCTTTAAATAGTCACCAGATTCAGCATGAATCTTCCATTTTCAGGTCCGTTAAAACGGCCGAAACCCTCCTTTATGGATCTGCATATATTTCTATACAAGTGCTATTTTCATTTCTTTGTCCTTTTCAGTCTTTCTTCATTGGACTTTCCTAACTGATGGGAGCCCGTCAGCCGTTTCTCTTTATTGTGGAAATCCAAAGGCTTCAGATTGTCCAGGCTCAAGTCCCAGAGTAGAATGAGACCACATTCCTTCAGCAGTCTCCTCCGGGGTGGGCATGTCCATGTCCACTACGCGGTGAAGCTTCTGCTGTGCCTTTTCCTCCTTAGATGGACACACTTGAGCAGGAGCCCCAGCAGAATCAGCAGCACCAGCAGCGTGACGATCACCACCGCGTAGTTTGGGACGCCCGCTCCGTGACACATGTCCTGGGTCACCTTCTCGATGTTGACGGGCTCCGGGTGCTCCTGGTGGACGCAGGTGACCGCCTCGATGTCCGGCACCACCACGCCCGAGTGCTGCACCATGTGCAGGGCGGCCAGGCTGTGGCAGCAGCTCAGGGGGTTGGAGCCCATGTAGAGCGTCTTCAGGGAGCGCTCCAGAGCCAGCAGGCTGCGGCGGTCCAGAGAGACCAGGCTGTTGTTCTGCAGGTTCAGGGACTCGATGGAGGACTGGCCGCTCCACTCTGGTAAGGCCCTCAGCTGGTTGGTGGACAGGTCCACGTGCCTGAGGCTCCTCAGGGAGGACAGGTCAGCAGTCAGGGAGGAAATGTTGTTTTCACTTAGGAGCAGGTGAACCAGGGAATGCTCCAGTCCAGAGAGGGAGTCTTTATGCATGTCCAGGCCCGGGTTCAGGGACAAGTCCAGCACCTTCAGAGGGCTGTCCACAAAGGCCTTTTCAGGCAAAGTCAGCAGGTTGTTGTCAGAGAGGTACAGAGAGTGCAGCTTGTGAGCCCTGGAGAAGCAGACGCAGCCTGGAGGAGCCTCCTGCTCGCTCAGAACGGGCCCCGGCCCGCACTGAGGCTCCTCAGAGCCACAGACCCTCACGCTGTTCTGCTCCAGGTGCAGGTACCGCAGGCTGGAGAGTCTCTGGAACAGCTGGGGGTCCAGAGCTGTGAGAGCGTTTCCGTGCAGGTAGAGCCGCCTCAGCGAGCGCAGAGCGCCGGCCCCAAAAGCCAGACTTTGCAGAGAGTTGTAGCTGAGATTGATGACCCTCACGGTCCTCAGAAGGCCCTCATGGGTGATGGAGAAGGATCGGATGCAGTTATGACTCACATTCAGGACCTCCAGCGATGTCATGCATTTGAAGAACTGGTGCTCTGGGATGCTGCTGAGCTGGTTGTGACTCATGTCCAGATATCTCAAATGGTTGAAGGTCAGGTTGGACTGCTGTCCCTGAGACCCGGAGACGTTGACGGTCTGAAGCTGATTTCTGGAAATGTTCAGGAACTCAAGCATGTTGTTCTCTGAAATATGAGGGAAGTAAAGCATCTTGTTTTGGCTCAGATCTAGAGAGCGAAGCTGAGACACATTCTGTGACTGTGTGCTTTGGAAAATCTCGATGCTGTTCCTGTTGAGATTGAGAACTTTCAGGTTGTACAGATTGAAGTCATCGATGCAGGTGATGGAATTCTTGGACAAATCCAGTTCAGTCAAATGATGTAAGATGTCAAAAGCTCCATCCTCAATCTCCAGGATCACATTATTGTGGAGGCTGATTTTCTTCAAGAACAAGGAGCCACTAAAAGTGTTGTGTGCTATTTTTGTGATGCTATTACTGTTCAGAGAAAGGTTTGCCAGGGAGGGGGAGTCAGACAGGAAGTAGTCCGACATCCCCGTGTACAGGCCGTTGCTTGAAAGATCTAACGACTCCACGGCTGTCAGACGTCCAATGTGAAGCTTGGAGAGGGCAAAAACATTGAGATGGTTCTTGGACAGGTCCAGCACCCTCAGCTCAGACATGTCCCTGAAGAGTCCGGGCTGGATGAACAGGATTTTGTTGGCATGAAGATCCAGGTGATGGAAGCTGGTGTGGAAGCCCAGGCTTTCCTGGGTGAGGTTCTGAACCTGGTTACGGGACAGGTCCAGCCTCTGGACATCAGGGGGGAGGTTGAGCGGTGCCCCCCTCAGACTCAGGTCTCTGCAGATCACATCCATCTGGACCTGGGGGCAGAGACAGACACAAGCCTGGTCACAGCAGCTCACATGTCCCCACCACCCCAGCAGCACCGCCCACCGGGGGGGCCGGGCCCTGGGGCCGGGCCTGGGGGGCCTGGAGGGCAGAGGGGGCAGGGGGGATAGGGGGGTCACAGGGGGCCCGCCGCTGGGTCTACACTGGGCACAGAACAGCTTTACTGACTCCTGGCTGGTTCAACTAGTCCCTGAATGGTTCAAAAGTTACTCAGCAAAGAGGAAAATCCGTCTCACCATTCACACAGGCGTTTTTGTTGTTTTACCTCCGTCTGCCCCCGCTGATAAATTCAGGTATTTCAGCTACGCATGACTCCTAATAGAAAGCACATGTCCAGAGCAGTCCTAAAGCTGCCTCTGCTCTGGGGGCTGTGGGCCGGAGCACACAGGGCTTCTCAGCATAATGGTGGTTGGTGCAGGGGACACTTGTTGTTGTTTAGCAGCTGGCTGTAACCGGGGCCATTTCTTCATCCCCCTCCCTCTGGTTTCACCAGAAGAGGTGCAGCAGGTGACATCAGGTGGCTCAGATGGGAGCTCTCTGAACCACAGAGCAGCCGCTTCTTCTACCGGAGCATGTTCTGACATAAAAGATCAGTATTCTCATCTAGGATCATAACCGGAAAGGAGACTGAATCTAGGTTGGAATTTCTGGCCAACACGGTTTAAAGGCTGACTGTAAAAGATACCCAGTTTAGCTGCTTTATTCCAGTTAGGATCATTATAGATTAAACTGGATTTTCTTCTGAAAATGACTCAGCAAGGCTGGCTGAGATGTGCAGGACTTCTCTGTAGAGCCGCCCCTGCTGCTCACCGGGAGGAATGGAGATTCATCAGTCTCACCAAGGCCCCCAGACTTTTTATTTCATCTTATTCCCCATGTTTCCCTTTTCCAACCGTTCCTGTATGTTCTCTCAACATGACATGAGATAGCCTCAAATGCTAAAAACAACAACAACAAAGTGATAAATGATAGACGGAGTGCACTATATTGACTGAACATCTTTTAACCTGTTACATTGCTTTTGCTCTCTCATTAAAATGAAAACCAAAACTGATGTCTATAAAACAACTATAAAGCTTGACATTATGAGACATCTGCACACCAGCTGTACTGCTATCCTTCATTTCCTCCATCATCACTCTGCGGCTCGTCCCACAGTGTGTGAATCCCCAATAACACCCCCCACCTCTGCAGGCAAATACGAACACTCCCATACAAATGTATTTGAATAACTTCCTAATAATTAAACTGCAACAAGCTTTAGGAAACCACCAGGCTTTACTCTGAGATCAATCTAGAAAGGACAACAGTCCAGTCTTGTTGAATAGAACAGGTTCGTTCCAGAAGTTGAGCTCTGTGTGCCGCAGGACGCTAACTGACCCCAAATGGGCTCAACACATTTTATGCTCTTTCTTTGGAATAATGATAAATATTGAGTTATTTATTCAATATCTAATTCTGACGCATTACAGAAGAGGTTACGGTGCTGACCACATAGTGAAGACCACAGTGTCCCAGCAACATCTCACTGTCTACAGGCCCAGAGCTTTAGCTTCACTTCAAAAGCCTCCAGAGCAACTATGTCCAAACATCTGATGGGTTCCAGGCCCGTTGCTTGGGGCAACCCATAAAAATAAAATGATAACAGATGAAGGAAAGAAAAACACACGTAAAGTTTCCATTGAAATGGAAATCAAAGAAAACATCCCATAAAAGTGAGAACCGCCTGAGTTTGAACCAGAGGGAGTGTGTGAGTCTGGTTGTCTACTTACCACTTGACATGGAGGCAGGTGTCGGGGGGGGGGTGCAGAGGCTGCCCGGCTGACCAGCAGCAGGAGCAGCAGCTGGAACCACAGCTGGACGGGCAGCTGGACGGGCAGCTGGACGGGCGGCTGGACGGGCGCCATGGCGCTGCTGCACAGACAGAGTCCAGAGCACAGCCGTCACAAACAGGCATGGAGGAAGCTCAGATGAAAGCGTCCGAAAGGGGAAGGAAGGCTCTCTGTAACAGGCTAACCTCTGACGCGGATATTTATGCCACGCTCTGGGGCTTTCTCTCCACACATGCACGGTCACTTCTCTCTTACTCTGTATTGGATGGTGAATTCAGCTGAAGGATGACTAAGCAGAGACAGGTTTCCATCATCTGAACTATCAGGTATTGCACAAACAGACACTTGTGACAGACTTCAGTGAGTCACTGTTTGTGACAGACTCAATATTTCCTGATCGGTTCTTGCGAATACAACAAAACAACGTGTCACATTGCAAAAGCAGACAATGTGGGAGTTGTGTGTACCAAGTAATGGTAAGTACCAAAAGAGACGAGTCACAGACGGGCTCGTGGAAATGTCAGTGAAACAAAAGGTTTGCCGGGTTAAAAAAGTCAGCCAAACAGCCCAAACCCTGAGAGAAGGCCTCTGACCCCAGCAGCGAGCGTTTAAACACTCCCAGCCTGATGAGGCCCGGGGGGGGGGGGGCTCTCCACTCCTGTCCCACTGACAGTCCTCTCACACCACAGCAGACACAGGGGAGGTCTTCCTCATGACACATCCATCACACACACAGTTCCCTCAAAGCCGGTCACATGGTTTCACTTACACAAATGTGAAGGCCAACAGGATGTGCTCAGATGTAACGTTTCAATATCTGTCTATACCAGTTAACCTAAAGACAGAGTAAAACATTTACAGTTATTTTTGATACTTTAAAGTAAGAGCTGGTGGAAGACGTGCTCACATCCTGACAGGTGAATGTAATTATGTTAAAATAGTTGATTTACTCGAGCCAGTAAGAGGCAGTACTGCTGCAAACATGTCCTGACTAAAGGAACAGTCCCAGTAGAAACCAGTGGCCTCACAGACTGGATCCTTAGGTCATCCTCCCAGTTGCTGTTATCTGTGAGCCTTTTACTTTTGTGGTTATTTAAGCAGGAACTAAACTTTTGATCATCCACAAGATGATGATTCTGCTGATTACTCACAGATATTCTTCTGGAGGTCGCAGCAGAAAGTAGCTGGTCGTCCCGAGCCTAAAGAAGCCTTTGGCTTCGTTTAAAGATTTTGCTGGACCCAAAAATATTTTCATTTTTCCGTTATGGATCAGCTTTAGATTAGTTTCTCAGGGGCACAAACGTCCTACCTGCTGGTAAGTTCTTCTTTTTCTGAAGGGTCCTTCAGGCTGTACCACAGAGGGGGGAAACAGCAGAGGCCCTCCGACACACACCCCCGAGCCCCCCCAAGCCCCCCCGAGCCCCCCCGAGCAGCCCAGCGCTTCCACACACAACCACACACTCGTTCTGAAGCTGAAGTTTACCTGACTTTCAGAGGATGACTAGTCCTCGCAGAACCTCCTGACCGTGTAGATCTCACCCCCCCGCACC